CAAATTGTGACTTTCTTTCTAACGTTATGGATTTTTTGATATGAAGTTAAATGACCCAATTTGTTGTCAAAAGCGATAGAAGATATCGATGAAAGCGGCATTCAAAAAATCGTCCAACGATTTTTTTCTTAAAGTCACTAAAAGATGTATCTTTTACAAATATTCTCCTTTAATTTCATATGCATTGACGAATTTTAAGGCAGTCAAATAAAAATAAGTACGCCCACAACTAGCTAACAGCACACGACAAGAAATAACACGGAAGTCAAGCGTAAATAATCAACAAGCAGCCGTTAGCGAAAATAGTTGTGTTAGAAAGAAAGTCAAAATTTCAAAATTTCAAAAGTTATGACGCCGCTTGAAAATTCGATCCGAAATTTGAAGCATATGAAACATCGCGCTGCAGAAACATTACTATTGAATGGATTGCCTCTGGGATTGCCTTGACGTTTTCACATATCTATTTCCAAGTATTGCAGATCAGCCTTACGAAAAATCAGCATCAAATCTTTAAAACTCATTGAATAAATGTTTTTTTTAATAATTGTCGTTGTAAACCTCAAATATGAGAGTTTTGCTAAAAATCACATTTTCACCGTTTTCTTCATAGTTTCGTAGGACTGAAAGAGAACAAATTCGAATAATAAGGATTGCAATCGGTTTTTCGGTCAAAGATTAGTGGAAATTGAGAAAATCACAACAAAACAAATATATGACTACATTGTCCAAGCAAAATTTAAAACTCCTACATCCCAAATAAACATAGAAAAAAGAATTGCTAACATACAGATGAACAACTTAACTGGGGGAAAAATTATAGCAGAATATATACAACCACAATTGACTCTTATCTCAGAATGTTTAAATATAAGATACTCAAAAATATTCTTTATTTGAATCGTGATCTACATCGTTTTAAATAAGTGAGCACTCCTCTAGTTCTCTCTGTCACGAAAGTCCAGAAACATTAATAGATTTTATTTTATTTTTTGTAGAATGCATTGAAGCAAAGAATTATTACTTCGGTATTCGAACTTGGTTCGAAACCATGGGATTTCATTACCTACTTCAAATAAAAAGAATATAATATTAGGAGTCGACGATATATCTCTTAACTTTATTATCCTATTATATGAATACAGTAGTATAGGGGATGGGGGTTCCAGCGCAACGACCACCGGAGGATTACCCGTCTAAAGTACCCCCCTCGATTCGTACCGCGATTACCCGCATCCCGAGTTTATGTAAAATATGTTAGTCTATATATGGAGTGCGAAGATTGTAAGAGAACTTTTAAGAAAGAAGTGGACTTGAAGAAGCATTTAAAGATGAAGACGAAGTGTATGAGCAGCTATGATTGTGGATGTGGTAAGAAGTTTGAGACTAAGGTTAAATTGTTTTGGCATTGTCAGGATTGTGAGTATGACTACGACGATCTGAAAAGGGTCTGGAATTAGGTATAAGATAT